ACTGTAAAGATACCGGTACATGATCAGATTCCAATCTTTGAAGAAGAGTTTGCTTGATATTTCTGAAACTAGCATCCCATTCTTTCGATATCAATATTCTATCAATTCTAGAAGCATGAACTTGGTTATCCCCTTTAAACTAAGTAAAAGAACCCCCTTCTAGTTGAAGATCAATCAATTCCATATCTTCTATAAAGTCTGAAAACTCCAACATAGCTCTAGTTCTCCTATTGCAATTTCTTTTTTCAGAAGCATACCTGGTGATATTAAAGTCACCATAAACAACCCATGGTCCTTCCATCAATCCTCTAACACCACCTATTTCCCTCCAAACTGCTCTCCTTTCAATGTAATAATTAGGAGCATATACCCCGGTTATGTGGCACTCAAAACTTTGGAAAAGTGCCTCAAATCTGCATGTTAGAGTATAAGCTCCAATCTGCAGTACCTCCCCTTTCCAAACTCTACTATCTCAAAATACCTCCTAGTACCAATGGCTTCCAAACATGCAAACCTCACCCATCACCCTCCCCAAATCTGATTAACTAACTCCTTTATTTGACCCCCTCCAATTTTGTTTCCTGGACATAGAGGATATCTGCATTCCAGTCTATTACTATACTCTTTACAATTCTTCTTTTTTCCAAATCATTAAAACCCCTTACATTCCATGAAATTAATTTGAACTTCATAATTCAATTGATAACACTCATTTCTCCCTGTTTCTCTTCCCATTACTCTTAAAGTTCAAATTAAAGGAAGATAAACCTTTCAATTCCTGAATACCTCTGAATCTAGGCTTTCTACTTTTCGAGTCTATCTCCATCATTCTAGCTTGTCTGCAACTATCAATTTGCTTTAACAGTTCCAAAGCTTCTTCTTCATGCCCCAAAAAGTCAACCCCGAATATTTTCCCCAGTTTGATCAAATTTTGATGCACCCAAATAGTCGCATCCATCTCTTTCTCAAGAAATAAATCCTGATGTTGAAGGGGTTCAACATCTTCCACTTCCCAGTCATTAAAATCAGTGCATGCATTGCATGTTGTCGAAGTTTGTTGTTGCATGAGATCGTTGTTAGCGAGAGAATCCCCCAGATTGATTAAAGACAAAGCATTATCTTCTTTTTCTCCCTATATGTCTGCACCTTCTCGCTCTACTGAATTCTCACACGACATTGACACCTCTATGTGTGTCAAATTTTCCTTGGCTGCACTTGTTTCGAGCAAGCAACATGGGATAATTTGACTATATTCTTGTTCTGCCAAAACTGTAGCTTCCATCCCTTCTAACAAAGGGTCAAACCTTATATCTTTGATGGGCCTACCACTTAAGTCATTAAAAATGACTTGGGCAGCTACATCTGATCCAAGAGTTTTTTTAATAAATGTGTCTGCTTTGGGCCCAGTAGGAAGGCCCAATATTGAAATTAAATCTGCAGACTCCCCCATCTTCATCTCACGTGCCTTCTACTTTAATTTAAAGTCAACAATAATTGACACATCACTCAAGCACCCCACGTGATTAACACCCATCTCCTATGCAACTATAATATTGCCCTGACCTATCTCTGTCATATATGTGGATATTGTACAGCCGTCCTTTGGGAGCTTCTGGCCTTCCCCTTCTCTGGAACCTTCATTTGCACCTGCTCTTTTCAGGGAGACCGATGATCCCAGTTCATATTGCGTTTGTCTCTCAACCCAAATTGGGATGAGAAATTTGATCCCATCCCTCTCAATCGCTACCTCAATAGGGCAATTTTGACCATCTCCGGCTACTTCTATTCTAGCCCACTTGAGATGATTTTTGAGATTTGTTTCTTCCTCTGTAGCAATCCATTCTCTGTGATCTCCGATTTCTTTGAATATCTTCTGCGACCAAAGATAAAGAAGGACCCTCAGTGCTCTAACCCATCTAGTTTTGACGGAGAAAGAATTGGAGATACAACCAGCTATGGGGTTCACCATTCAAGATAAAACTTGAATTTGTTCCATCTCTATTCACTTTGGAGAATCTGCTCTGCCATGCATCTATTAGGAAACTCGAACAGAAATATGTTTTCAGTCATCTCGTACATATTCACCCCAAACACCGCTTTTCAAGTAATAGAGGCACATCTCCTAATGTCTGATAGAGTGGGTCTCTCAGTTACTTCTTCCCCAAAATACCCAAGTACACATCTTTCTAGCAGACCAGTGTCCTTTAACCCAGGTGGCTCCAAAATGAAAATGGCACCTTTATTGGTGCTGACAGTTGATTCACGGAGGATATTCGATTGCCATCTGCTCTCACGTATAGCTTTGGTATAGGGATAGTTCAGCTTTGAAGAGCCTTTAATGAACCTTTCATTCTTAAAAGCTATGTCCTTCCATCCCGCATGCAATGTTGTTTCTGGGATTATAATAACCGATCTCCCATTAATGACAGAATACTCATATATCTTCCATGGTCATTGTACTTCCTAGTACAAAAATAGTCTGTTAGTTGGTCTTTGGTTTTCCATCTCCTAACCAGATTTTTCTGATCCTTAGGGGCTTCTTTGAGAACGAAGCAAATCCACTCCATAGCTTTTTTGCTTATTGTTGAACGTCTCATCATGTTACGGCTTCTCTCTACCCAGTCATACCATGTGTTCTTTTTCGAGGTCCACCTGATGATGTCAAAGGATTTGAAACCTGCGTTGAAATAAATTTTGTTATCCCCCATGGAAGTGATGTTAGAGCTACCAGCTTAAAGGACAGAAAATGAAGGTGATTTTTCAGTGATCACAACGGGTGAAAACTAGGGTAACGAAAAGTTTACACCGGTAAAGGTTACGCCGGAAAAGGTAGTTCAGGCATTCTAGGAAGTAGGAGAGAGAAAGGTCTCGAGAAGAGTGCATGGGAGCATCCAGATTTTTAGATTGACCTACTTCTTTTTATTGAAATTATGTTTTTACGACTGAAAGTCACTTTAGGGGTAGAATCGTTAAAATCACTTCATGGGAAAGAATCAATAGATTGGAAATGAGGGTATTACAAAGGAAGATTTAAGATTACAAGTTTTAAAATAAAAATAAAAATTAATTTCGTATTGAGTCAAAATTTAAGTGGGGTGTAATCTTTATGTGAGTGGGTAGGGGTAGAAATGTTTTGTCTTATTATCTAAACACTATATTTTTTCTCGATTACCTGAACATTATCGCCTGTCATATTGTGTACTCCCTTAATTCCAATTTATGTGAATATGTTTGACTGGGTACAAAGTTTAAAAAAAAAAAAAAATTTTAGAATTTGTGGTCCTAAACAAGTCAAAAGGAGGTCCAGAGTATTTATGTGGTTATACAAATTTCTCATTAAGGGTAAAATTATAAGTTTAGGCTAAATTATTACTAAATTTAGAAAGGAGTCATTCTTTTTGGAACGGACCAAAAAAAATAAGTTCACATAAACTGGAACAGAGGGAGTAGTAATAAAATCTTTCTATCAATACATTTTAAATTGTAATATTCATGGGCTCCTTCTCATTAATCATTGACCTCAGCACTAGCTCACAAGGGTAGTGGCGAAGCCAGAATTTATTTTAAGGGTGTTCAAACTTAAAATAAGTAAAAAATAAATTTCGAGAAAGGGTGTTCAATACATGTTATATACCTTTAAAACCTAATGTTTTACTTATATACGCAATGTAATTTTCTAACTTGACCACCCTTATCAGAGTGTAGTTTCGCCCATGCACACGGATCAATTGGTTTTGTGGCTCTTTACAAATTTATATTTAGTTTTATGACCCTACCTCTTTTTTACATATGAGAGATTTACTTTTACACGTAAGAGATCTGTCTTTTATACATAAAAATTCTAAAAATATCATTTTCTTAATTTTAAAACTATAAAGGGGCATGATGTATAAATAGTATAGCTCCACACATATATGGTCTTTTTTCTGCTTATAAAAGCTAGTAATGAAGGAAAAAAGATATACACAACACAACACACTGAAATATATATAATGCAGCAATCAATCTCTCTCGACCATTTCAAACATCTTGATCACTCTACTAAAGGAAAACTATTCAATTTCTATACAGGTTAATACTTGCTCTTCTTGGTGAGTCAATGACTACTCAGGAATTTCATTTCATCTATGTATAACAAAGTTAAATTTTTGAATTTTGTTGTATCCTAGAGACATTCACAATACTCTTCTTTTGCACACCAGATGATTCATATGGTTGAATTTAGCCTCAAGAAAAAAGACATAATAATGCACCCTTTATTTAAGCACTTTATTGAAGTAACATCTTTGTGTTCTCCTAATTCATACCATAGACTGTTAAAATAGAAGCCCTTCTAATTGTAATCAAGCTAGAAGAAGATAGAGGCCGGTAAAAAGAAAAGGATTTCTCATGACCAAAACAAACCTCAAAAAATAATTACTTGAAATTGTGAACACGTAATTTTTGCCCCACATAGAAAATTACTCCTAAAAATGCTCAAAATAATTTTTATTTTTTTTCTAGATTTTTAGGAATTTTATTTGTGTATTTGATTGCATTTTTATTGCATTAGTAGATCATTTTCATCATTAGAAATACTATTTTTAAAAATCAAATCAAATCAAAAACATTTTTATCATTCATCTTTGCATTTTTAGATTTTTTATTTTATAATTACATAAATACATGGTTTAAATGCATAAAAATCACCAAAAAAATACATTAGTTGATTTGCCTTTGTTTTGCATTCTTAGATTGAATTAGCTGGGTCAATATTGTAAATTAGCTTTAAATTGTGTGTTGTTAGGATAAGTGGCTAGTTGTTAAATTCAAAACAAAAGAAGGAAAGGCTATTAGCCATGATTTGGCATTGGGCCAACTTTGAATAGCCCAATTACTCATTTAAATCTGCCCAACCCGTCTTTTGAGCCGACTCAGTCCGTTTGACCTCTTTAAAAATAACCAAACGACCCCCTTTTGTCACCTTTCAATCCCCACCCTCCATCACCTTTGATCCAACGGCCATGAACTGGCCATCCCTTCACTTAAAGATGTCCAAACCAGCCCTACCCTACCCCCAAACTAATCTCTCAGACCCCTCATCTCCCTCTCTTTGTTCCACCGCGAGGCAGCACCACTCCAAATCACCCCAAAATATCACCCTACAATCCCCAGAACCTCATTAATCCAAATCCATGCTTAGTTTCACCGAAATCCCTTCTAATCTTTTCATTTAGTAGATCTAAGAAAGTACCAAAACCTAAATCTATCCATTTTTTATTTTCTTCTCACTTTCGGCTTGTTTGAACTTGAAACCTACATTATTCGATTGCTCTTTATGAGATCAACCGATTAACGTTAGTTTTAGTTCACTTTACGGCCACTAGAATCCGGTCAAGTCCTGTTGAACAACCAGTTTTTTCTCCAATGGTTTTTCTCTGATCATTTCAATTCCAGCAGATATACATCTTTCCGTCTTCCCTTTAATTACTTCCAGTTACATGTTTCATTGGTTTGGTTTGAAATTGTTTAGTTGTTTAAGTTTACTCATATGTAAAATTTATTTGAATCAGTAATAAAGTCACACATCTCTAGGCTAGGGAATCTGATTATTGGATTTTTGATTAGTCGCTTAATTGCTTTGGCATGATTAATTAATTACTTTCTTTGATTAATTAGGTTTCTGTTACTTTCGAGTTTGTTTGTTTGTTTGTTTGCTCGTAAAAGATTGGGCTATTGATTCAATTCATTCGGGTAAGAGTTTTGGGCCTGTTGGCCCAAGGCCCAGGCAGAATTAGTAGTGAAATACAATTCACAAAGCTTAAGAGGGTCAATAGGGAATTATTTTTAAGAGAATCTTTCTGTTATTTGGTTGAGGAAGGTTCCAGAAATTGGGGGAAGGACTAATTAGAAATAGAAAATAAAGGGGTCAGGGGTGAGGAAGTAAATAATATATAAAAAAAAGGGTTAAAAAGAATTGAAATAACAGAAAAGATGTTGAAAGTTGGTTATAAAATAGTACTTTCATTTTGCATACAGAGGACACACATTCACAGAAACATTTTTTACTCTCTCTTATCTGTTATTTTTCATGTATCCTCTCATCTGCATACATTCAGAATCTACACACATTCTCACTGATTTTTCAGTCCTCTTCTTCACACACACTCATACATTCTCATCTTCTTAGACACACGCACAGAATAGCTAAGAAAGCTTGAAATTAAAAAAAAATTGAGATCTAAAAGAAAAAGCTATTTTTGATTTCTGCTGCAATACTTCACAATTTCGAGCTGGTTGTTGGCTGGGAATTGAAGCTGCTCTTTGCTAAGTCTACTTTGCTGAGATTCCTATAGTTTCTTCCAACCTTTATTTGGTTTTGATTTCCTGTTTACCTGCTGTTAAGGTACGAATCCTGGTTTCAAATAGTATGACTGTTATTTTTCAATAATATTGTTAGCTTTTGTTGTAATCAATCATTGATGTGTGTAAAATGCTTCAATGTTAAATGCAAACTTGATTTGGTTTCAATTACCTTGATATATGAAGTACAACATAGAATCATGTATAAATATTATTTTGTGAAAATTATTGCTGAAACTTCTGTGTTTTTCAAATGGATTAATGCGTTCATGTACTGACATGTGAGTATTGCTCAATTAAAGTAGGGTTTGGAGTTAGCTTTCAGTTTATTTTGGAGTTATAGAATATCAGCATCAATTCATGAACCAAACCAATAGATCTGGATGGTAACAGGCCTAAAGGTGATTATTAGTATAATAGTGTAATCTGATTAAGGTATTTTTCCGATTTATTTTTCTTCTGTGAAACTGATCCATGGCCTGATGATTTATTTGGAAATTAAATCTGTAATAATGGGGATTCATAGATGTATCGGATTTGCAAAGCAAGCTGGTTGTAGTCGATAGAGAGGTTGTATGTGTAATAAGGTTCAATTGAATTGATTGACTGATAGAATGGCCATTTGTATAATATAAGGTTTCCAATTAGGTATCACTCTAGTTTGGAATTTGAATTTTCTGTAAAAATAATTAATTTATATGATGTTCATTTAAGGTTGAATCTATAATAACATTTGTTCCTGGTGACTTTTCCTTTAAGGTTTGCAAAGCATGTTAGCTGGCTAATTGCGATCATGTTTAAAACTCTATAAGAATTATTGGGCTGCACCCTTGGGAGATTTTCGAGCCCAATTTATTTGTAAAATGAAAAGAGTCAACGACTCTATGAACGAAAGGCCAAGCCCTAATGGGCCTTATCCCAAGCGCATCCAGTTTCGTTCATTAAAGTTAGGTCATTGTTTTTAGCATTGCGAATATGATTTTCAAGTGAACTCTAAAGCAGCAAAGGTCCCAAGATTAGAATTAATTAATACTTGTACACCAATGATTTCCATAATTTATTAGACCTCACAATGAATCTCAAATTAGTTTAGGGCAAATAATTGATGAACATCGTAGCTTGTTTTAGGTGCAACTAATAATAAATCATTGTGACTATGGATACGGTTTTCGCGGCATAGTAATGATACATAAATCCCAAATTCGAGTGTACGCTCACGTGACACGACTCTATAACTTCAAATCAATTAAACAAATAAGCATGTCGTAAATTGCGGGTGTGTTTCACGCGGCATGATTTTTGATGTGCACAAAATGACAAGTGTACAATATTGTAGCTTATTAAAATTAATTCCATAAATATTAAAAATAGTTTAAATATATAATAAAAGTGGTAAAAAGGAAAAAATGCAAAGTAGGTCTAAAACATGTAACAAATTGGATAATTAAGTCAAGTATTAATTATTAAGCGACCGTGCTAAAATCACAGAACTCGGGAGTGCCTCACACCATCTCTTGGATTAACAGAATTTCTTACCCAATCTTCTGTGTTCGCGGACCATTAATAGAGTTAAACGTCCGTGAATTGGGATTCCAAATTTGGTGACTCAAAACATCGTTAATGAAATAATTCCGAGTGGCGACTCTAAAAAATAAAAAATAAAAAAATCCTATTTCAAATAATGTCACTTTAGTTGAAAAAATTCCTTATCTTTGGAAAAAAGAGGTGTGACAGCTCTGGCGACTATACTGGTGATCGAACCCAGAATCTTTGGTTCAGGGTTCAGAATTCGAGCTTAGAATAACTATTATATTTGGCTACTTGTGATTGTCTGATATTACTTGTTTGAGCCTAAATAACGAAAAACATGAAATGTAGTAAAATTGTCGAAAATAAAGTCAGGTGACGCTTTTTTTTTTCAAACAGCCAGAAATGTCCTGTCGGGACGCCAGAAGGCTATTTTTGCAAGAATAGTCACCTATGGTCCTTTTTTCAAATTTTAGGCTACTTAGCAAGCACATCCCTAAAATTTTCCCCTTCGAAGTGCTGAAAGGCCGTATTTGCAAAAGTAGCCGTGTTATTTTGACTTGGTTTTTGAAAAAATTACTATTGTTTGGTCATTTTTTAAAAATAATTCCACTTGTTTTAACCTGGTCACCCTATTAAAATGTGCAAAATGAGCACTATTCAAAATATACCTGTAAGGGTTGTAGGCCAGATCCCATTGACACTCCACATATGGTCGGAACATTTAGGAAAACAAGGACGAGATCGAGTCAATCAGTATCTGGGGGCGCTCACAGGTCTGTTAAAGATTCAGCCTAGAAGTGATTTGATAGAGGCACTAGTGCCATTTTGGGACCCAACCCACAATGTTTTCCACTTCTCGGTTTTTGACTCACACCCACTCTGGAAGAAATGGCAGGCTATGCCGGGAGTACAGAAGGATCGAGGCACAAGTATTTGATGTCTCCAAGGACCATCACTCCCCACAAGTTTCTAGATCTACAGAAAATAAATAGGCAGATTAAGACAGAAAGTTTGGCAGGTGGAGCATACACTCTTCCATTTTCTATACTAGCGATACATGCATCAGGGGGCATTCGAGAATCCAGAAAGTGGACTCTACGGTAAAAGTAACCAGTCAAAGTGGGAGGTACATAGATGTTTTGCATTCATGGTGGCATTTTTAGGCATTGTGTTGTTTCCAAGGGAGGATGGGCATATTGACCTGCGTCTAGACAGAATTGCCCATGTGTTGACTACTCAGGCCAAAAGCACCCACGCACCTATGATTGTAACTGATATATTCCGAGCCTTGACCTTTTGTAAGGCCGGAACCAAGTTTTTTTAGGGGTGTAATTTGCTAATACAGATGTGGATGATCGAACACCTTTGTCACCGTCCCCGATACATGAATTATGGTTCTACCGAAAAAACTGCATCGAGGAATTTGGTACATGGGTGACTGGATTCGTAATGCCGGAGGGAGTCAGGAATTGGATTACCCGCCTTCGTTCTTTGACCGCGGATCAAATAGAATGGATATTGGGTTGGCTTCCTGTGGATGAGATTGTTCATATGCCGGCCACTGGTCCCTACTTCCTTTTGATGGGTCTTCGCAGTATCCAGCCATATGCCCCATACCGGATTTTGAGACAGCTGGGAAGGTGCCAGATAGTTCCCAAAGATGAGGACCTTATTACTTACGTGGTTGAAATTTGCTCTGATGCTCAATTTTCCGAAGATGTGGTACGTCAAATTTGGAGCGAGTGCTGGTATTTGGGGTCAAACACCAGAGTACATGATTTGTCTAAGGGCGAGGTTGAACCTGGGTATGCCATTTGGTATGGAAAGAGAGTCACAATGAATAACGAATCTGAAAGGCCGGCTAAAAGGCCCCATGTCCAGGAATTTGTTGATACATCGCAAGAGCAGTGGGCTTGGGTAGCCAAAGAGAAAGATTATTGGGCCACCATAAGCAAATTAGAGAATCAGGCGAGGGCCATTAAATTTGAAAGTGGTTTGCAAGCTGCCGAAGATGAGGGAGAGAAGAAACGGTTAGCTCAAGAAAATGAAGCCCTCCGAGCTCAACTCCGGGAAATGAGAATAGCCGTTGAGATGCCTGTAAGAAGTGAAAGGGACCAAAAAATCATAGGCAACTTGAGGCAAAAAGTGCACGACTATGCGACCGATCTAACAAAGGCCGAAAAAGATTTAGCAAAAGCTCGGGCAAGGATGGTCCAATTGGGGAAAGATGTGGAAGAACAGACAAGGTTAGCCCGCCAGGCAAAGCAAAGTTACAACAAAGAGGTCGCGATTTTAAGGAAAGAGTTGGCCACTCTCGAAAATGAAATGGGTCAACAGGTAAAAGACTTCAAGACGGAGAGAGAGCATTGCTATGCATTGATTAACAAATTAGAAGAGAATGTGTTGAATTTACAAAATCGAAACAACATGGCCATGCAAGTAGTGGAAGTCCGAGAACAACAGATTGGACGATTGCTCCAGGAGAAGGGTGCTATTAAGCTTAGAATCAAAAAATAGCTTACTACACCGATATGAAATGCAATGAGTGTGAGAATATGACTAAAGCTATGTTCTTTGCTTCAGTGCTATCATTCGCTCGCTAGGTCATGGCCGACCTAGAGTTCCTTCAGGATGAGCTTACAAGCGGGCCCGCATCGAGACCGACTGATGTCACCCGGGCCCTTGAAATAAAGTTTGAGAGTCATCTGTGTTCTTTAATTGTTCAGTCATCGAGTCTGTAGTTTACTTTTTTTTCTTGCGTCGAGTCTGTTTGTCCTTCGTCTATTTTGAGTCTGTTGTTATTTTTCTTCAAGTCTGTATGTTTTCCTTTTAAAGTCAGTTGTCGATGTTTTTGAGTCTTTGTAATGAAAAACCTAAAAAAAAAATTTATTAATGAAATATTGAAAACCCCCAAAAAATTTCTTTGCTTTCATTTTACATTTATTCCCTGAACTACGTAATGGTCTGATTCATGCGGCATCATGATACGTAGGCAATCCCCATCGAATGTGATCATAGACATAAACAAAACTGAGCGAAAAATCAACAAAAAGAGAGAGAAATTAAGAAAAACCAAACAAAAAGAAAAGAAGACAAAGAGTGACAAAACAAAAAGACAAAGACAAAGAGCGATGAAATACAAAAGAGAAAAAACCAGAAGCGACAAAACAAAAGATAAAAAGAGAGCGAGAAGTGGAAGAAAAGAGTACAGACATTTAAAAGCCGGGATGAAACACGCGACTGTTGCAAACACATGGTAGAAGCGTTTAACTGTTTAGGTGCATTGCATCCCAACGTGCGATTTCCTATCTGTTAAATGTTTCAAAACTAACAACGTTGTTGTTACGCCCCCAAAAGGCTAGCGCAACTGGCACCCAGTGCCTTTAACTTCCACCGGGCGAACCACCTGTTTTAGCTACCAACTCTCATATCGATAAATCAAAATAAAACTTTGCCAAAAATAATAAGTATCGATGACAAAGCATCCTTCTAGTTTCAAAACATAAGTTGAGCCAATGGCCAAAATACATAAGTAGCGGAAATAAAAATAACAACATAACATAAAAGATAAAATGATAGTTCCCATGAACACCCATAGACCTCCCACAACTGTGCCTGGAACCTCTAAGAAAGTACACGAGACATAAATCCCCGGCTCATCCAAAAGAAGTACTAAAATAGCAATGAACCCACGGAAGTAGTATTGGGTCTCACCAAAAGCAACTGAAAGATGGAGAAGATGCCTAGCACACACCGTCAGCCCCAAAGTGAGTAGGATCTGAAACAATGAGGTAAGATGTCCCACGAAGGAGGCTGAGTAAAATTTCTATAGAAATTGTACCCCGTAAGTATCATTGAATCCTTCTATTAAGATTGAAGCGATACTTTCGGGATACATAAAAAAATACACATGATATGTGATAAGTCAAACACTTTGTAAAAACAGTGATGATAAACAATGAACATTTAAGCATTTCAACAATTTAAACAATTTTTATTAAACTGTAACTCTTTCTATGATTATGAACCTTCAATAAACTTTAAACGTTTTTGTGGGGAGTTCCATAGTTTCCATAAGCAACAATATTCGATAACTGTAGTGACCATCGCCTGCTCACGAGGCCGTCTCACCCAATATCGTGGGATTTTGACGATAGTGCTAGCACGGTAAACTATCTCTATGGACATCAAGTGATACACACATGGCAAGTGTGATCCATATTCAATATATATATATAATTCTTCTGAAACTATAGCTTTAAAGCATTTTGACCCATAGGTCCTGTACACTTTTTAATATCTCCAGTGAGCAATATTTCCTTTGAGATAATTTAATAACTTGAAAGTCTATTCACAAATAAACTTTAACATTTAACAATATTATCAACTCAAATCAAGTTGGTAAAATACAATAGAAAGTGTTATCGAAGAATGAAAGCATGAAAATATTCAGCGACACAACTTATGCGTAAACAATACTATATAATAACACTATACACTATATAATGTTAAACCATGGTTGGTAGATTTCGCTCGCTCTAACAGAGCGAAACCAACATTTAAAGAATTTTAGTAACTCTTTGGAATTTATGGAATATTTTCAAATATTCCTTAAGGGAAGGTACATCTTAACTTACCTTACTCTAACCTTCCACACCATGCAATAATCTTCAACGCGCTCAACTCGATTCAATCTACATGATAATAATCATTTTTTAAAAATCAAATTGAATCAACGGAATCCAACTCAACTCATATAGATTTCAGAACATAGCTACAAGACCATCCTCAATTCAAACCCACCTTTCTTCCATCTAATGAGCTTAATAATTCAATACCTAATAATAATTGAATTATTAAAAATCATGAAGAACAATATTCAACTTATTTCACAACCCCAAAATACTAGTTATGTCCTTCTGCACCTATTTCTTCAATTTTAAGAATGCCAACTTCGAAAATTCACTTAATCCTCAATTTAAATGATGTTTTCAACTCCTAAATACCTTCATTAACCTCTATGTTCATCATAGTTGAAAGAGAAGACAAGAAATTACCTCTTGAAGAAATTCTAGAAATCCTCTTCTTAAATTTCTTGGGAGGAAACCTTGAAATAAAATTAGAACAACATTCTTGCTACTGTTGTTACTTCTTCTTATTTGCAATAAAAAAAAACTTGTGGGATTCAAGCTTACCAGCCCCCTTTAGTGTCACTAGCATTTTCAAACACAGAAGAAGGCTCTGTTTCGTTCCCCTCTGTTCAGCCAAGAATGACCAAGAATTCATTTGATTCATATCTTATATTGTCTTAAAATGACCCTTATGTCCCTATCTAATTTATCAGTACATTGGACTAGTTTCTCATCTTCACGTGTAAAGCTACTTTATAAGATACCTTTGGAATATAATTCTTCTCTTATAGAAACATTTTATATATTTGTATTTGTAGAAACTAGATGCTGCAATATTCTCTCACATGATAGGGTAAGCAATATTTTATTGACCTGCCTTTCTTTGACACACGTAAGCTCCAATATAATTATCCATTAAAGTTGCTGCCCATGATAGTTTTAATCGGGCCTTATTCATCCAGTTATGTAATGTATAATTCATTTCCAACTTTGTTCTCAAGATAAAAAGGATCTTAATCCCTTCAAAACTCTCTACTCCTCATAACATCCCACTTTAGAGTTTCATTTCTTAATTCATGTATCTTATATACATATATAGTATAACTATTAAAATAATAATCACCACCACCTTCATGTGGGTTTATTCACGCAAGGAGAGTACCTCAACTCGTCATTGGATACATAGTTAGCCCAAATAAACATTTAAAAGTTACGGGGCTTTATAGTTGTGCATGTAATAAAATCAGGTTCTATTCAAGTGGTTGGTTTTTGTTGGTAATTTGGCTTTCTATCCCTATTTTACAAGATCTAAAGGAAAGGTTCTGATGGCCTCTGAAAGCAATCTACACATTATCAACCCTGACGATAGCCTGACACCGGCTATTTCACAACCAGAATTAGCAACTATTGAAGAGAATAAGATGTTATGTCTCCGCATGTTGGAAATGTGGGACGCCTGGTTTAATGGTAGGGAACCGCCAAGTGTAATTCCTGGATTCCCTGAGTTGATCCCAAGGTTGGGTGGGTCTACCCACGTCTCAGCATCCAACCCGTTTATCCCATGCGGGTACCCTCCAATATCATCTAACTTTTCCGACATGCCTTCTGTGGTTTGCCCCCAGGCACCGATTTTCGGGGCACCTCCAGCATTGTTCTCCGCAACACTTGTCTTCACTGTGACACAAACAACCGTGCCCAGGCCGTATTTTGAACCTCCGGCATTCACATTCTAGGGCCCCCAATTTCAGCAGGATATGACTTACATCACTCCGGACTCGTACACCCAACATCCACAGTATGAGCTTCTGGCTGAACCAGAAAGAACAAAACAAAATCCTGAGCAGGAAGAAATGGCTCGGAAAATGAAAAGCTTTGAGCAGAGTTTGAAGAACATGCAAGGCCTAAGTGGCCAAAAGAGTGTCTCCTACTCCGATTTGTGCATGTTTCCGTATGTCCATTTGCCGCCTAATTTCAAGACGCCAAAATTCGAAAAGTACGATGGGCACAAAGACCTGATTGCTCATTTGAAAAGGTACTACAACCAGTTAAGGGGTGTGATGATTGCCTATAATTACGTATTTTAGTCGCTTATTACACTCTAATTTACTGCACTTTAATTGAGTTTGAGCTTTAATCGCTAGTGTTTTGCATTAATTATGTGTTTTATGCCTTGTAGGAGTGATTCCGAGCTATGTAGATGTTATGGAATGAATTCAAGTGATTTGAAGCTTTGAAGTCTGAGTAAAAGCCCAAGGAATTAAGCCGGGATCGTGTTCGTGGATCAAATTTGATAGTTAAGAACGAACGAAGAATCGAGTAGGCATATTGCGCACTGTCTAGTAAAATGCACATAACTTTTCGCCTAGAACTCCATTTGATCTCCACAATATATGGTTGGAAATAATTCAAAAGGCTAAAGCTTTCATGTTTTACGTTTTTCCAAATTTCAAACAGAACGGGGTGAAAAATATGGTCGAATCCGCGGCCGCGGATCTGGCCGCGGATGTGAGGAAGAACACTGGGTAAAATCCGCGGTTGAATCCGCGGACGCGGACGTCCTGACCTGGAAAAATATCTTTTTTCGCGTAAGAGAGCGTATAATTGTTTGGGCCCGACCCTACTTGGTATATATACATGAAAAAAATGGTATTTTGAGGACAGACTTTGACATACTTTTGATATACTTTTGACATAATTTAGACCTAAGGAGGCTAAGGAGACTGGGGATTCGACCTAAGGAGGCAAGAATACGCGAGAAGCAAGGAGGAAGATTCAACTACGAGTTTTTCCCTTCTTCTTCCTACTTTTCATTATTGGTTATGACTTTTAGTATTGTAGTTTTTACATGCTATTATGAGTAACTAATTTGTTATCTAGGGTTTTGATGGAACCTCTTGGAGGATGAATTCTTGTTATGTTTTAATATAATTTAACCTTTAAATTTGTCTATTTGTTCAACTACGTGCTTATTTCAGTTGATTGAATGGCCATCGATTGACTGTGCCTATTTATTATGTGTTGCTTGAGAAAGGATACATATTTAGGTGGTTGTTGAACAACGTCACTCCTAACGTATGTGAGAAATCAATACAGCAGGTTTAAAGGTAGGTTTAGAAATAACAAAGCCTTGACGTGGTCATAATGAGCGGTTAGATAAAGCCAACTAGCGTAGTTCGAGAGAATATGCCTAGTAAATTGTTATAGTTGCTCGAGAGAGAATTACGGCACCTAAAGTGCTCATGGATCAGTAGAGAATACATAGGCGAAATTGCAGGGAACATAGCGGGAAGAATTCCGACAATTGGGGAAATCATAACTCTAGACCTCCTTAATTTAGTCTCCAACCCTTTGTCTCCTTAATTCGTTAGAAATTTCTAGCGAATTAACTAGCAAATACTAGAAAACGGTAAAATTATCAACTAACGAGACAAAGGGTTGGAGACTAAATTAAGGAGGTCTAGAGTTATGATTTTCCCAATTGTCGGAATCCTTCCCGCTATGTTCCCTGCAATTTAGCCTATGTATTCTTTACTGATCATGAGCACTTAAGGTGCCGTAATTCTCTTTCGAACAACTACAACAATTTACTAGGCATATTCTCTCGAACTACGCTAGTTGGCTTTATCTAACCGCTCATTATGACCACGTCAAGACTTTGTTATTTCTAAGAAGAAGGGAAAAACTCGTGGTTGAATCTTCCTCCTTGCTTCTCGCGTATTCTTGCCTCCTTAGGTCGAATCCCCAGTCTCCTTAGGTCTAAATTATGTCAAAAGTATATCAAAAGTATATCAAAGGCTGTCCTCAAAATACCGTTTTTCATGTATATATACCAAGTAGGGTCGGGCCCAAACAATTATACCCTCTCCTACGCAAAAAAGGATACTTTTCCAGGTCAGGACGTCCGCGGCCGTGGATTTTACCCAGTGTTCTGCCTCACATCCGCGGCCAGATCCGCGGCCGCAGATTCGACCGCATTTTTCACCCTGTTCTGTTTGGAATTTGGAAAAGCGTAAAACATAAAAATTGTATCCCTTTGAATTAGATTTTCAACCATATATTGTGGAGACCAAATGGAGTTCTGAGAGAAAAGTTATGTGTACTTTACTAGACAGTGCGCAATATGCCTACTCGATTCTTCGTTCGTTCTTAACTATCAAATTTGATCCCCGAACACGATCCCGACTTAATTCCTTGGGCTTTTACTTAGACTTCAAAGCTTCAAATCACTTGAATTTATTCCATAACATCTACATAGCTCGGAATCGCTCCTACAAGGCATAAAATACATAATTAGTGCAAAACACTAGCGATTAAAGCTCGAACTCAATTAAAGTGCAGTAAATTAGAGTGTAATAAGCGACTAAAATACGTAATTATAACCTATTATTAGGGTGCCAATGGAAAAGAGGAACTTCTGATGGCCTACTTCAGAGAGAGTCTAATGGGAATTGCTTAGGAATAGTACATGGACCAGGAAATCGCTCACTGGCACGTATGGGACGACCTTACCAGAGATTTCATCTGCCAATTTCAATACAATGTGGATATTGCTCCGGATAGAAACTCCCTATCTAATCTGAAAAAGAAATCCATGAGAAGTTTCCATGAGTATGATGTTAAGTGGCGCGAGCAGGCTGCCCGTGTAAAGCCTTCGATGGATGAGACAGAGATGATCACAATTTTCTTGCAGGCCCAAGAGGCTGATTATTTCCAGAACACGATATACGTCATGGGAAAGCCATTTGCTGAAGCCATAAATATTGGAGAAATGGTTGAAAATGGGTTGAAAATAGGATGGATATTGAGTCAAGCAGTCCTTAAAGCTACATTGCAAGCCATCCAGAATGGCTCGGGGGGTCTAGCCAATCGGGAAAAGAGAGAAGAGGGAGCCATGATGGCTTCAAGCTCGAGGGAGTCTCGCATATCTTTTAACCAGTCTTATATGCCACCTCGAACCCCACAACATTACTACTCATACCATGATATTGCTTACCCCGTGGCACCGCCTCTATATGTAGTGATGAATGCACAACCCTACACACGGCCCCAATAAAACTACAATCAAAACCAAGCTCCACCTCCCAGAAATAACCGTCCTTACTAAGCTCTATACAATCCTCGCCCCCCACAAAATACACCCCAATATAATCCACGTTCCCGAGAGCCTCCTAGAAGAAATTATTTCACCCTCATCGATGAATCATATTCGAGTTTTCTCCAGAAATTAATCCAATTGAGTTTACTGCAACCTGTGGCTCCAAATCGGCTAAATCTCAAGTCTCCAACATACAGGGCTGATGCCAGATGTGCATACCACTCAAGGGTGGTAGGTTATGATACAGAAGATTGTTGGACCCTCAAGAGGCGGTTGAAGACTTGATTGAAGCGAAAAGAATTGTGCTAAGGGACTAGAAGGCTTCCAATGTGACCAATAATCCATTGTCTGCTTACAATAACAGGCCAGTTATTGGTATGATCTGTGATGACAAAGAATTTGACCCAGAGCTGAAGGCCATTGTTGCCATCGTTAGTCCAGAGGCAAAACCTAAAGTAGCAGCAAAACCGGCCAAAACCGAAAAGAAAGTAGCTCCGGTCCCTCAGGCTATTGAAACGAAAGCTGATCTG